CGTTTATAGCACGGGAAAGTTTAAAGGATCTCATACAGGAGGCTTCCCAGAATCAGTATGCGTTTTCAAAAACTGGAATTGTACGTTAGACATCTGCTGTACGAGATTCATTTGAAGGGAGGCTGTACTGACACAAGTACCTTAGCCATTTCATTGCATTTCGAAGAGGTCGATGCAAATTTCATTTTGAAAATGTATGCGGCTCTTGGGCTCAAGTGTATTCTTATATTAAGACCAAGAGACATTGAGTACATCTGTTGCCGCAGACTCGGGCTATAAAGTGACAGTGGTTGCCTGCTTAACCCTCTCAGATTCGGAATCCGCCGCTGTTTGCCTGAAGGCGCTGCACGTTGAGAAGGATAAGAGAAAGTAGAATAGGAAGAGAAAGCAATAGTAAGTGGAGGAGACGGAAGGAAGATAGAAGAACAAGGAAGTGATAAGGAGAAGGAGGAAGAGAAGTGACAGTAGGAGAAAAAGAGGAAGAATTAGAGAGAAATCATAGGAAGAGAAGGTGGAATAGGAAGATTTGAAGGAAGAATAGGTAAAGGTGAATAAAACCGGAAGGAGAAGGAGACTTAAAGAGCAAGTGGAGAAGGAAGGAAGAGTAGGAGAAGGGGAAAAATAAGAAATTTAGAGGGAGGAATAAGAGATGGAATTAATTAAGCACTATGCCATTAAGGCATATTGGAGAGTGGAGTTATAGCTCCACCATTCTTGACCTCACTACTAGATGGAAGTGAGCATTCAGCTTCACTCTCCGGCGACTTTAACCCCAAGGAAAGAGCCCTCGATACGCTTTTGATAGGAAGCTGGATAGTCACCAGATCCTGTATGGACGCTGTGGAGTATAGACAAATGTCTTGCCTCCGCCGGAAATTGAACCGACGCTGTCCAGCTATACAAAGCCCAAGCTGCACAGCACTCGCGTCATAGCGTAAGCAGTGTGAACAGAACTTGTCGGAACTCGGCGTGTGGACGGAGAAGAGTCCTTTACTGCTCTTTCTAGACGTGGAGTAACGACGCTTTCAAACAGCCCTGAGGGTAAGGGGGTGTTCAGGGATACTGCCGCAATGTTTGATGACTAGGGGCAAACTTTCAATACGGGTTTATTGGGTAGCTTCAATCAACACAACGGTTCAGGGTTACTTGACGATCACGCTTGTGTCAGATCAGAATTAGCTCATCACGGTCGTTAAACCTATAAACGTGGAAATGCGAATAGAAATAACTATTTGGATTGTGCTCTGTAACGTGCGGAGGGGAAGCAAGTGGCGCTGAGTGTATCGTAGAGATAATGGGCTTCTATCCATTAATTTACTGAATAAATTATACTGCATTTAGGTCAAGCTATATGATGCCGAATAACTCTGTTTGCGATCTGCTTTTTTGCTGTTTTTTTTATTGCTAGTGTGGTGGGACTAAATCCCTTGTACTGCGGCAACTTCGGACCTATTGTACCAGCCGTGGATGATAGGTGAGGGTGATTGTGTAGCAATTGGTGGAATGAAGATTTGCAGGAGAAACTGAAGTACTCGGAGAAAACCTGCCCCAGCGCCACTTTGTCCACCACAAATCCAAATTGACTAGACCCGGGATTGAACCCGGGCCGCCGCGGTGGGAAGCCAGCGACTAACCGCTTGAGCTATGGAGCGGTCCTTTTGCTGGTTACTTGTCTGGATTATACTTCACTCCTGAAAAATATGGCGATAAATATCTTCGAAACGCCACTGAACTCCTGACAACGCAGTATCAAGTCCCTGTAGACATAGTCAAGACTGTTAGAATACGAAATATAACAAGTAAGAAATTGTATGCAGAGCGTAACAGTTCTGGTTTTACTGGGTTTTTTACTTCGTCCATCATCCGGTAGTCTGATCAACACAATGTTTCGGAAACTCGATCTGTTTCCGTCCTCAGGAGGAATGTTGGGAGACACCTACTCTGTTGATTTCCTTAGAAACAGCTGACCTCAATCACCTAACCTGAACAGTTAAATGGAAAATAATTTTAAAATATTTTATATATATTTTACTCCTTTAAAAAAGAAGAGCTAAACAAAACATCAAAGGAAAACCAGCACATCAACAAAATACGTATACACCAGATCCACATGTGCATACAGTGAAATTATCACGGTATGATATTTTAAAATAAATTTAAAATTTGTGTAAATATTTTACCTTTAAAAGCGTGACAACGAAACAACAATTTCCTTTACAACTTGTACACCTGATGATGGCATCCAGTTGGGCCTCGAAACATGTAATGTTCGAATAGTAGAAAGATACAAAAGCTTTTGCAATGTGAATTTTAATGAAAAACTTTATCTTTCATGAAAATAAATCCCTTGACCGCGTAGAGCCCATACAATCCTTCAGCAGTGAGGAATTCTCTTTGAACGTAAAGTAATCTGCATTTAAATCTACTTTGCAGTAATCTTGTTACTTGTTACTAACATTCCGAAAGCGCGAAATGGAAAAGCTGTGGAAGGAATCATGGAGTCTATGCTTAAGGAGTCGAAGCGTAATCAGAATGGCTTTATGTCTGACACTGTATTATCTGTCTATATGCTATTGTACGTATCTACATAACTGACAGCGGACAGCAGAAAGAGAGTGGACTCTGTTAATCGTATTTTGTAAGCTTATCGCTTATTGGCTTATTTTTGTCTACCATGAAGATCAAATACCCGGCATAGCTTAGTAAATACAGGGATGGGCCACAGACTAGACGGTTGAGCTTCGATTTCCGGCAGCGGCAAGTTCATTGACTTCTTCGTAGTGTCCTCACTGACAACCTCCTGACCTCCCGGTTCTAAGGGTAGCTGGAAATGAAGCTGACCACTTATATCCTAAAGTCCCGAGATTAATAACACATGGAGCTATGCGTCCAGTAACATACACCTTTATGGCCTGCTGTTTAATTCAGCACACGGACAAATTTTAGTAAAGTTGTTCTAGGCCGCGCCATAGCTGAAGCGGTTAGTCTCTGGTTTCCCATCGTAGCGGCTCAGGTTCGAGCCCGGGTCTGGTCAAGTGGGATTCGTGGTGGACAAAGTGGCGCTGGAGCAGGTTTTCTCCGAATACTTCCGTTTCCCCTGCCAATCTTCATCCAACCAATTGCTCCACAATCCCCCTCACCTATCATCTGGGGCTGCTACAATAGGCCAGAAGTGACCGCAGTACAAGGGACTTAGTCCCACCCCACTAGCATTAAAAAAGAGTAAGATTATATACTTCCACGTATAATAAACTAAATCTTGTATTTGCATTATATGTTTGGCTTCTACCTTACGTAACGTGTAATAATTCTGCTCCTCCTAGAAATTAGAGCATGTGGTGCGTTCCGCCCCACAATTACTTCTGCGATAGTGAATATTTTAGCAAAGCGGTTCGACTTCTTTGAAGGGGATTTAGATATCGCGTGACACCCACCATCACGCCAGCACATGAATATCTAGTAGCATCTACACCCACACCTTAAAATTGGGCACGAGAAGAAACATCTCGGTTAGATAGCAACCTTATTCCATGTTCTGGAAGTCACAGGTTAAAACCTCTCTTCAAAGGCCAATGGTGACTCAGATAATTCGTGGTTTTTCTCAGTTTCTCGTTCAAATGGCGAAATGGTATCACAAATAACGTCACAACCGTTTCCTTGCACACGGTCTCCAGTTTATTGTCATTAGTAACCCTAATTTCGACGCTGTATTGTATTAGCTGCCGAAATCACGTGGCCGGGGTCGACAGTGTATGCTTCTACATTTTATTTTAAATATATCAAAGAGGAATATCCTAATCAAATGAATGTGTACGCCCTGTATCTGAGATAAGAGTCCTCATAGATAAATTATTCTTCTTGCCTCTCTCACTGTCCAAGTTCATATCTTGTAACCAGCAACCGTTTTATAACTGTTGTCGCCTGGGATGTGACACCGTACAGCCTTGTATTTTGGTACGCACGTCCCGGAGAACATGGCCTTCATCTTCAGGCCGGACGATGGACGATGTACACTGGTGCACACCCACTGGACTACACCGTGTCGTAAGCTAGAGGAGAACAATCTGAATTCTGGTAACCTTGAAAACATCAAATATATCAGAAGATTGTACACACATGATTTCAGAGCCAAGTAATTAGAAATACAGCACTCTAGGGGGCGATGGTCGCGTCTGTTGTTCTCATTTCTATTTCTTTCCTTCTAAATTGTATTAGTCTCTTTCTCTTTTTTATTCGATTTAATCGTCTTCATTTTCATTAATCCTATAAATGATACAAACTCCGTCTCAAGTGCAAACAACATATTTTGATCTTGCTCCCTACACTAGTGTAGATATCATTTATCGTATGGAGTGCAACAGGATGCTTAAATAAAATATTCATTAATCCTTCTTAATAATATTCTTTCTCTCTATTTCTCTTAATTTCTCTTAATTTAATACTTTCCTCTTCTCTATCGTTCATTTGTTTTTTCATCTATGCATCATATCGTTTTTAATCAAATCTACTACTACTACTACTACTACTACTACTACTACTACTACTTCACCTCCTTTCCTCTTCCACAACTTTCTTGTCTTCTTCTCCCTCCATTTTATTTTTCTAAGCCTTCTCTTCCCCCATTATTTCTGCCTCGTCTCTTAACTCTTCATTTTCTGATTTCTCCTCGTTAGTCTGTTTAACGGCCACCTCTTCTATCTTTCCTCTCCTTCGGTAACATGACCGGACTCCTACTTTCAGGATCAGAATGAATAGTGAGAAAATGAATAATTTGTAGTGTGTCATTTCAAAATTCCTTAAATGGTCTAGGCAAACTGCGCCTGAAACACCTATGAGGTTAACGCCATCAGTAAAAAATACTACTTCCTATTTTTAACATAAAATTGTAACCAGAATTACCACACCAGAGATTTCGTTGAGCGCATGGAACATTCAGTGTAGCAGTGTTGGTGCCCTGACTACTTCTACTTGTCCTGACTTCCGTGTTGTGTGTGTTGCAGGGTATCAGAGGAAACACTACAGACGCCTGTGAAGATCACGACCCTTGCCAACATGGTGGAATATGTATTTCCACTGACAGTGGACCCATATGCGAATGCCGAAACGTCGACTTTGAAGGGATATTTTGCGAGAAAGGTAGGATAATTATTTAAATGTTATATTTACTAAAAAAGGCATTTTGCCTTAGTCTATAATAATATCTTATTTCTAACTTCTAAGAACGAAAATACATCAATTAGGTTAATTCAATACATGTTTACATGCGGGTCGGTACAGAGCGATGAAGCCTTAATGCGTGTGTGGGAAATTAACGCAGTTTATAATATCATGCACAATGAAATCAAAGGTGTTACTGTGCTCAACGGGTTGAGGCTTAAGAGAGAGACAGCAGGAGTTTCCTGCACAATAGCTGCAATTGTCAGAAGAACTACGCTGAAACACCAACAACGAATGAAAGAAGACTAGATTAACTGGATTTTTTCCAGTGAGAATATGTGAATTACTAAATTCACTGTTATTTAATTATTTGTTTCGTTGTGGTAGCTTCTGGTATTACATATATATTTGTAAATAATTCGGCATATTCGCTCAAAGGAAGAATTTTGGAGTCACAACTGACGGCCGTTACTAGGCAGCGGCCCATAAACAAGAACAGAGGAAAGGTGATTTCCTTGCGGTCCATGCCAGTGGCTGCCATGCAGCTGTGGAATACGTCATGCCTCCGATAAGCAACAGTTGCGCTGCCACGGAGGAACGGTGACTTTTACGCAGCCCAAGCCGAGATGTTATAAGTAGGACAAGTTAGGGGCTGGAGTCAGTGAGATATCCGCTGCGGTTCAGTCGTTGTAAGCTGTTGCTGTTAGTAGCTGGTAGCTGAAGCCGGGAACAGTTCGGGAACTAAGAGGAAGGGGAACGTCCGCCGTCTGAAGCCACTACCAAGCAACGGCTAGTAAAGTCTGTAACAGACTGAGAAGACCTAGTGTGTCCTATAGTAAATTGTGAAGTGTGTAGAACAGTGAGAGCATAACCCTTGCGTGTAATTAGAGGTTCAATATATCCAGTAACCAAGCCAAACCACGACTATAATTACCCTACGACCTAAAAATATATGCGTGTATTTTCCCTCTTTTGCTTTTATTTGTTTATTGATTTGTTCCTTTTACCTCCAGCTCTCTTTTTTCGTTTCCATTTTTATATCCTCATGATCGTACTTATATTTTTATGTTTCTGTGCTTTATTTCCTCATGACACAGTTATTTTGAAACATGAAGGAGACAAAGCGAGAACCTTGGTGGAGACGTTGCTGAGAGACACTAAAATTTATGGGGGAACAACCATTTTTGTCTGTGAAGGGTTCACGTTAGGGCCCGCTAGTCTTCACGGTTAATATAGTTTGGATAGAAGGTAAAGCGTTGGGAAGTGAAAATGTAATTCTTTATGGAGTGGACTTTGTTATGAGGAAATTAAATTAGTTCAGTAGGGACTTTATTTGCTTTTGTTTGGAATTGTTATTGTCACATTGGCAGGGCTGAATTAAGGTGAACAATTTATCTAAATTAAATTTAAGAATTAATTTTGTTCTTGATAGTAAATGTACTGCAGTTCTCTTAAAAAGATCAACCGGTTAATATTACCTATAAAAAATCTCTGTATGTTCTGAGAATTTTACGGAACACAGTAGAATCTTTGGGCAAAATACATAATTATTTATTGTCAAAATAAATATTAATAATAGAGATGATTGTGCTTTAAAGAGTTAGAGTCATGGAAAGCCCTGGTATCGAATAAGTGATTATGATATTCTTGTTTCCGTCTTCATATTCTTGATACAACACAGCAAGAGAATTTACATCGGTTCCTGTATTCTTAGGTTTTGCTCCTTTAGTGTGTTCACGAGCATTTGTGTCCCTTCCTTAGTATCGAGTTTCTTTCCATAAAGTTGCATTATAAATTTCTTCATTTTCTCTCTTATTCTCTACTTCCATTGCGTTTGGCAGACTCAGAGCAAGATTAAATTTCTTTGTTCCCATGTTCCAGAATTTGTTGCGGCTAGAGCCACAAACATTTCTTTTTTATTTTTATGCCCAACAAGCTGTAGTATTCATACAACTTCTTTAAAAACTTTCGATTAAACTCATCTCTGCAGCCTATGAACTTATACAAAAATAAAGCTAACCCTGTAACAGACAGTGGAGACACATAGGATTTTGAGACATCGAGGCTCCCACATTTTCTTTAGACAATCGGCTTACAGATGGCGGTGAGGTTGTTAGCCTTACGCTCCGGCCTCCTTTTACCCCCAGGAAGATTCCTGGTACTAATTTCTGCCAGAGGCTGAGTCGACATCAAGCCATAATGCAGCTGGAAGTATTATTTCAAATGAAAAATCCAATGACCTCATCGGGAATCGAAACCCCGACCTTCTGACTCTTAGTGCACTACCGCGTTCCCAGATATCATAAATACGATATTTATTTTCTTATTTTTCGGATTTGAGGTTCTGATAGGAGTGGCTATGGAAAGTACTGTCATCTGGGATATGACATCACGTGGTGCGGTAACTGACGTTTCGGAGCAACATAATGCCTTTGTCTTCAGTGTCGAAGAGTGAATCAAGAAAGCAACAGGTAAGAAATGGGCAGCACACAGAGCTGAGTAGTTCCTTAAGAGCCGATGATATACCATCGGCCTACACGGCGTCACATCTCATAATATACCAGTTATTTTCTATGTTATTTTTGTATACATAAAAATCAGCCGATCACAGTAGTCTAAGGCAAGGGTCTCCAAACTACGGCCCGCGATGTGATTTTATCCGGCCGCGGAAAGAATTGTGCAGAAATGTGCCAGTTGAACTGATTTTCCAGTGAGTACTGGTAAATGTGGTTCCGAGCTTATTGACCTGACATATCATACTGCAATTCGATGGGGTAGCTGTGGAAAGGTTCTTTCGCACTTCTTTCAGCTCAGGAATGAAATTGATATATTTCTTACCGAGAAAAACCATCACGAACCACTTTTATCAGATACCAAGTGGCTTTGGAAATTAGTAGTTTTGCTGATCTGGTGAACCATATGAACCATTTGAATTTAAAGTTACAGGGTGAAAATAACTTAGTCTGTGATTTATTTGCACTTATCAAGGCACTCAGAGCAAAGTTGATACTTCTGGAAAGGCAAGTGAAAAATTGTAACTTTGTTCATATGCTATACTGTGCAGGGTTTCAAATTTAGTCATTTTAGATTTGAAAGAACAATTTCGGAAGCGATTTGCTGAATTGGATTCCAGTGCTCAGGAAATTAGATTGTTTCAAAATCCGTTTGGCTGTGATGCTGCAGATGTCCCAAGTCAAATTCACACGGAAATTATTGAACTTCAGGAAAATTATCGTATTAAAGACAAATACAAGGGATGAAATTTGATCGAATTTTATAAATTTCTGAACTCTGAGCAATTTCCAAATTTAAAGAAATTTGCTTGTAAGTTTATCGCCATTTTTGGGACGACATATCTGTGTGAACAAACTTTTTCCCAGATGAAGTACATCAAGTCGAAATACAGGGCAAATTTATCCGATGAACATTTAAAGTCGCTACTTGTGATTCGCTTTTCAAAATTTGAACCTCAATTTAATCAGATTTTAAAATGCAAAGAGAGTTCCATCATTCACATTAATTGTTTTAATATAATTTGTGATGAAAATATGAGCATTTGCTACTACTGTCTGTTGTCATTAATATACGATAATTTATTCTCATGTACTTTGTATTTAGTTTATGAAATTCTGTGCTTTCAATAAAACTCATATACCTAGAGTTATCAATTTCTCGTTTTATCCGTCCCGTTGAAAGTGCTGAATTGCCTAATGTGGCCCGCGGTTCGAAAAGTTTGGAGACCCCTGGTCTAAGGCATGTACTGTGTTCTCTAGCTCGGACTCTGGAATCGATGGTTCGAATCCCACTTAAGGAATTGATGTTTGGCTTGTGTATGCGTTTATTCTGTGTTTGTGTTGTCCTGTGTTTAGGTAGCGGCCTTGCGACGGGCTGATCACTCATCCAAGGAGTCCTACCGCCTGTGAAAATAGTTGCGGATCTAAATACGAGGCCGGGCCCTGAACGGCCTGGAAGAGCGATTGAAAAAAAACACAAGAATCTGCATAAGAATGCGTCTAAACTTAGATTTAACGTTCTCGTGGTTCTATATACAACGGCCTCTTTTATCTTCATGGAACAGAAACTCTCTTATCCTGAAGATTCATTAATTAGGTTCCTTCGAAACGTCGACACTTAACTATGAATCTACACGAAGTCATATTCCAGGAAATCGTTAGCTTTTTCTAAGCATATTATTTCTCTTTTTCTTCCTTCCTCCTTCCAATCGTACCTAATAAAATGGGAATAGATGCTGAAGGAGTAAATGTATGTAGTACAAGTGGCAATAGAAAGAAATTTGGAGAATTCGATGTGCCAAGCCCACGGCTATTTTCTCTGAAGCAGTCGTTAAAGCGTTCTCCATTCTACAGACCATCCCTGTGCAATAACCCTCGACGTTGTAGAGACTGAGTGTACTCAGTCTTTCTGGAAATTTAAGTACTTTTACGGCAGATGCCAGCACAGAAAAGTTAAAGGGAGGTAATGAAAAATCGCAGTCAAAAGTAAATAGAGCGTATTTTGAATAACTGGTTGAAATTATTTAACTGATACCAAAATATTATCGCGTATTTAGGGTGTGTGTGACTATAGACGGGAAATATATTGCAAATAATTGCCATTTCTAATCTCTGCACTTTATAAATCACCAGAGCACCTGCTAAGGCTCTTCCAGCCTGCTGTGTCTCCAACAGCTGTTCCCTGGCAACGGCTTCTAACAGTGGAGATTCTTCCTTCCTTCACCGACTCTCGCACAGAACTGCCTGCCAACTGTTCTCTCAACTGAACTGAGTCGCCATCTATTCTCAGCCTCCCTTGGAGAGCTCAACTGCACGCAACATTCAACGCTTTTCTTCACGACTGAATTTTCAACCCTCGACTACCTGGATCCCAAGCTGGCGGTCATTTCACACCGATATCCTAGTCTTCTCTTTACACAGCCCCGCTGTAAACTGAGCACTGTAAATTCAAATTCAAAGTCAAAA